ATGGGACAAATAATTATAGTGAATTATAGATACGAATTTGGGAATAAAAATTTATATCGAAATATATATATTATCGAAAAAAATAATGTACATGTTTAATTTTAGGATATTTTATCACGTTTAACTATTTTATCACGTGTAATTTTGTATTTAAATAAATATATTCAAATCCAGAGACATGTAATATTCATAGAATATGTATATTTAGAATGAACAACGTGGAATATATTATAACGTGGAACACAAATGAATAATTTCTACAAAATATACAGTGTGAATGGCATATAATTATCGAAAAATTAGAGAAACAAACTAATTATTTACGAATTTTTTTACATTTTTTTAGCCTGTAACACGAATAGATTGGAACTAAAATTAACATAAAAAAATAACACTCCATATATCAATAAAAAAAACGATAACATTTCTTTCAAAATACACTTGCAGTACTAAGAGTACACTAAGTACTAAAAAAAAAAACAAAAATTACAAATAAAATTCGCAAATTTCTCAATTTTGTCAATATCTGTATATATAATAATATTCTTCCACCGATATCCAATATACTCACTTCCATTAATGTACTCAAACACTTTTATCGCGTAACTCAAACAAGATAATTTTTTAACCAGCTAAAAATCTTATATTTTTTTCAACTTCCTTTTTTCCTGGAACATAATCCAATATCGAGAAGCCTACCTACATAAATAATGGAACGCTCTTTTTATTCGCGCAAACTGCTCTATCGGTATTCCCATATCGATGTTTCTCTCCATCTTTGAAGAGAGTTTCATATCTATTGAATGGGTAACGATTGTCACTGACGAGGCGGCATTAAGTTGGTCCAGAGGGAAATAGAAAAATGGGCGCACGCATCACCGATACGTAGAGAGCGAAAATGAAATTCGCGGGGGAGGAGTATCCCATGTGCAATATAGAGAGGCCGCGAGCACGTTTGCGGCGCCGAATTCCACGAATCGTTGCGTACTTTCGATCGACGATTCGGCGGCGGAAATGTAATCGCGGATGTTGTTCAGACGTGAGGCGACTGAGGCTGAAGTAGGATATTCCGAAGGAACGATTAATCACGCGCCATCGACGGGAACATTAGGCGGAGTTAATTAGTAGATTCGTTCGACGGTATGCGGCTTGTTCCGAATCCTGGTGGTGATTAACGAGACGATCTTTCGAACAAGTTGTTTGTCGTGATCAACCTTCCCCAGTTTCAATTGAATTTATGATTAATTCAGTCGATTGAATATCGAATAATTAACAATAATTGAATTTGTATGGATTATTGTATGGAAGATTAAATTATAATTTTGAAATTTTTTTCGAGATAATGAAACTATCCGGTTTAAAATAGAATTAAATCGTATAATTTTGAATTTTTTATATAAAATATAGAATGCAATGAATACTATTTCTATTTTAAATTCTATTTCTATTTTAGTTTTCATAAAAATATGATTTTTATAGTCATATAAAAGTTCAATACACTTGAAGTTAATTAATATGTAAATAATCACAACAAACACATGTACAAATATTTTAAATTTTTTCGTAGCCACTGCGCTATATATTGATATGGTCTAATACAAAAAAAAAGAATCAAAGTGTTAAAAGATTGAATAGCAAAAATTTAAAGCAATTCGTTAAAATTCGTTAAAAAAGAAATCGATCGAGATCAATCGTGGGGCACGAATCGAAACCTCTACTTTAAACCTTTACTCGCGAGCAGTGTAAATATTAGAGCATCCGACGGATGGAGAGGATTTGGAACCCAGAGTGCCCCATCTCGATTGATATTCGACAATTATCATGGAACGACTTCGATTCTGAATAGGAGAGACCGCGTATTGCCTTCAATTACCGTGATTACCGGCATATCGTTGTTATCCCATGACGATACGGATGTTCAATGAATCCTCTCGATCAGACCCCAGGGGTTGAACGCGATATTAGAGCCGTTCAACGTTGACGAATGTCACGGTGAAGTGAATCACCGATACTAAGGTCATCGTGATACGGCTCTTTCTCTTGGTATTTGAAGAGAATGGTGAAGCGTGTAAAATGATACATTTTGTAACCCCGAATTTTACATTTACTCTTTTACTTTTAATATAATCTTAATGGTTTATATATCATGCATATAATTTTTTTTATAATAAATATATTTAAAGTTTATGCTTTATATTGAAGATATTAATCTAAATTCTTAGGTCCAAGATCGTCTCAAAGTTTTACTATATGTATTCCACTATATTTATAGTATAATGATTATATTACAACTTTTCAAACTTCATCATCATAACTTTATCTCGAGAAGTTAGTTGATACAATAAGTAATAGAATAAAGTATTGACGAAAGTTGAAATTAATTATTCTCTGTATATATTAAATATATATTTATTAAATATATTGTGGTAATGTAATGTATGTAATATTTATATTTTTCTCTTTGTCTGTGATAATGTGAATGTTATATAAATATTATGTGATAATATAATTAAGTACTGTATAATTATTAATCTTAACGCATAAAAAAAAGATACATTCTTCGCACTTCATATTTTGCCTCACGTAATATTTTTTATTCTGTTGTTTTAGATTCGCGTATTTGTAATGCAGGTAATGTACAGTGAACTACTAAGCAGCGATGCTCTTTAATATAACAGTATGATATTTCAAGAACATTGTACAATATTTCTCCAGTACAATGGCTCTATATAATATCACGAGAATAAAATGAGCTTTTTCATACATGTTCTTTTTAATAAAATTTCGTAACATATATATATTCATGAAATATTTAAAAAATTCTTATACGTATATTGAATACATTATTAGTAACAGAAATTATAATAATATATGACTTTTACTCCTATTATAATCTTTAAAATATTTTCAATTCTAATTCTAAAGAAGAAAATAAATTTTAATATAACAGTAATTTTAATAATGTAAAAAAAGGGGAGAAAAATATATTAACAAAATCTTCTTTCTTTTGTATTTCAATAAATAAATAAATAAATTAAAACAAATTTTAATATGAAAAGAAAAAAATATTCTTAATAAAAGATTGTCCAAAAATATAGGACATTTGCTTTAGAAATAAAGATATCGAAAAGAAGACATGGTTGCATTTAAAACGAGATTAATCCATAGTTTTCTACTTCTTTGCAAGAAGTGAAACAGCAGCAAGCAACGACTATAATGGCCAGGCAACTATAAACCCAGAAGACCTCGTTAGACGTTAGTGCACAATCCAGGGTAAATTTCTCACATAAGGGATAAGTATTCGAGTTAAACGTGCAGAGGCGAATGAACTTCACGAATATGGGCTATGAATGAATTTCTCGCCGGGTACGCATAACAAGTATTTCCTGTAGACTTCAAGAGGTAGAACGGCTACTTATAAATCTTGGAACGAGATGCATATGGGATTCCATTCTTAAACGGATGCACGATACGGTTCAACTACACGTTTATACATGACTCCAAAAATGTACAAGAAAGAAATTTTCTCGAATAAATTGTGAAATTGAAAATCGCGAAGATGAAAAATTATAATGAAAAATTAAAAATTAATCGTCGTGGAAAGCTATGGTTTATTGAGTTTAATAATTCGTACTTTACACTTATTCGCTAGAAAAATTTTTAAAATCCAGAGAGAAGATTCTTCTTTAATAATCGAAAAGAGAAAAATTGTAATATCAAAAATTGAAACTTAATCATTAAAAAGCTATCATTTACCGAGCTTATTAATTCATTATTTTTTTCACTTATTCGTTCCACTTTTTTAACATTTTATCGAGATATAGAAAGATTTCTCTTTAATAATCGAAGAAGGAAAAATTACAAAAATTTAAAAATTAAAAATTCTCATTCAACAACTATTATTCGTTAATTTATATTTTTATTACTTTATACGAGGCAATTTATTCTTCCCTATTTTTATATATAAATAATCATGGATAAAGTTTTCTCATCCATAGAGCAGCGCGATCGTTTAACGCGAATTTTATAATTCAAGTGGAATGATTAATAATTAACGCGGCTCTTGACGGGAGAAAAATTGTGGACGGGCGCAAAACGCGATGCCGTCGCGACAGTTTACGTTGCTGGTAAAACGTGGACGTGAAAAAGGAAAAAGAACAAAAAAAAAAAAAAAAAA